CCCCAAGTAGCTTTTCAAGGTCTCAATCCTCTAGCTCCAGCTTTGTCAGTTGACCCTGACACCGCCCACAGAATAGTGAGGACATTTGCCCATGGATGGTTTTCACTGGCTCAGATACCCTGCCTGGGACATAATCTTTGCCCTTCCCACATTGTCCTTACCTCCTCCTCTACTGTTTCTTACAGGCCGGCCTCCGGCTCTGACTCCTTTTTCATAGGACCTGGTTTAGCCCTCAATGCAGAACATGACCAGGTCTCCTATAAAGCCAATCCCAATCTTTCCGCCTCTAACTTGAGCCAGGTCCAGAAAACACTGTAACAATGCTGTTTCCAAGAAGACTTTCACTGGTCATGTTCTCAACAGGGCCCCTCACCTCAGAAAGTACAGCTTTGATTCATTCTCTCATTCATTCAAAAACTAATCACTTAATTTGTGGCTACGTCAGTATTCAAAGGAAGGGAAAATATATCCTGACTACATGGAGCAGAGATAAACTCTCCCCAATGGTGCTGTGTCCAAATATCTGACTCACAGAATCCATGAACATAAAAAAATGATTGCATTATGTCACTAAGGCTTGGAGATGAGTTAAAATCCAGCGATAGGGCGCCTGGGTGGCGCAGTCGGTTAAGCGTCCGACTTCAGCCAGGTCACGATCTCGCTGTCCGTGAGTTCGAGCCCCGCGTCGGGCTCTGGGCTGATGGCTCAGAGCCTGGAGCCTGTTTCCGATTCTGTGTCTCCCTCTCTCTCTGCCCCTCCCCCGTTCATGCTCTGTCTCTCTCTGTCTCAAAAATAAATAAACGTTGGAAAAAAAAAATTAAAATCCAGCGATAGTAATTAGGATAGTCTTTTGTCAACTAGTTAATTCCTACCTGTCTCACCTTGAACGTAACTTCCTCAGAAATCCTCTTTATATCTAAAGAGCTATTTCCTTCTTTTTTATTTCATTTAATTGTGTGGTTTGTTCAAAAAGGCTGAAGACAAATATATGCCATGTCTATGACATACAGAAGCTACTTTTTTTTTTTAATTTTTTTTCAACGTTTATTTATTTTTTGGGACAGAGAGAGACAGAGCATGAACGGGGGAGGGGCAGAGAGAGGGAGACACAGAATCGGAAACAGGCTCCAGGCTCTGAGCCATCAGCCCAGAGCCCGACGCGGGGCTCGAACTCACGGACCGCGAGATCGTGACCTGGCTGAAGTCAGACGCTTAACCGACTGCGCCACCCAGGCGCCCCCAGAAGCTACTTTTAATAGAACATATCCTATCCTCCCTCTTTAATAAATACAGATATCAACATAATCCTGATCATACATTCTCCAACATTTTATTATGAAAACTTTCTAACATATAGCAAAGTTGAACAATTTTACAGTTTACACCCATAGATCCACCACTTAGATCCTACAGTAAAATTAACATTTTACTGTATTTGCTTTATCTCAATTCACTTACTACTCTATTCATCCTGTTTCATTAATCTTACTATTTTTTTGGATGTATTTCAAAATAAATTATAGGCATTGGTATACTGTCCCCTAAACACTTCAGCATGCATATCTTTAACTAGAGTTCAATATTTATTTTTGAGGTAAACTTCACATACAATGACATTCAGAAATTTCACTGAATTTTGACAAGTGCATACACCTGTGTAACCAAAATCCCTATCCAGCATGGCAACTGGACTTTTTACATGGAAGTCCAGGGCTCCAAAGCATACAAAAGGAGGGGGAGATCAGGGGGATACTGTATCATCTTGGCTAATTTGGTTTAGAAAGTTAAAGCAGTATCATTTCCTCTGCATTCTATTTGTTGAGGCAGTCACAAAGTTTTATCCAGTTTCAAGGAGAAGGGACATAGAATCTACTTTTTGATGGGAAGTGTGTCAAATAATTTGCAGACAAAACAATAGGTTTTTCAATAGTCCAGGTGCCATAGCTTAGGCTGGGGTGAGGGCAGTGGAAGAATAAGGGGTTAAATTCCGGATAGATTTTAAAGGAATTGCTAGCCAAATTGACTGACTGTGGGGTGGGGGAAAGAGAGGAGTCAGGAATGGCCACATGGTTTTTGGCCTGGGCAACTAGAATAGAGCACAGGAAAACCAGAGTGGCAAGTTAGGGGGAAAATTGAGAGCTCAGTTTAAGACCTGTGAACTTTGAGACAGTAGGCATTGGCATGGAAATGGTGAGGAATGGAGCAGGTAGCGGAATACAGGAAGCTGAGGTTCAGTGGCCCGGTCTAGGGTGAAGATTGAAATTTGGGGACTATTAGAATAGAGATGGGCTAGAGATGCCTGAGAATGAGTACAGATAGTTAAAGGCAAGGACCTGGGACATGCTAAGGTGACAGGTTGGAGCAATGACAAGGTGTGACCAGAGAGGTGAGGAGTGGGGTGGGGCATTGGAAGGGTAAGGAGGAGGTGTTTCAGGGAGGGAGGTATCAGCACACTAAATGCTGCTTCTGGCTCAAGCAGGGTGTGGACTGAGGATTGACCATTGCCCAGCACTCTGATGACCCCCATTAGTTTCATACCCAAAGGACAGCCCTTTGGTCTCGGCTGAGACAGGAGGATCCACTCTGAGTTGAGAGTCAGCTAAGGTAAGTCCAGTCTTGCCTGAAATCTGTCCTGGAACCCCTCCCTGTCCTGACCTCAGAGAGGATTCCTCACAGAGGAAACCAGAAGAGATTTTGTGCCAATGGTCAAGAACTAGAGTGGGGTGGGGCAGGGCAGAGGTACCTCGGATAGGGGGAGGGAGGAAGCCATTTCTCTTAATTAGCACGACTCTTAGCCTTTCCAGAACAACTCTCAGAGAAACTAAGTAACTTGAAAAAAATATTTTATTGGGAAAAATACAATTTGTATAATTCAGCGTCGTCTGGTCTCAAGAGAAGCTCCTTCCTTTTGCAGTCGCCTCTCTGGGGACCTGGAAGGTGATCTGGTTGGAGGAGACCAAGTCGCTTGGTCTTCAGTGTGGTCCAGTAAGAGCGATAACTGCGCGGCCACTTTCCTGCAAAAAATCCGGGGTTGTAGAAGCTGAGGTGGTTATGTGCTCAGGATTGGGGTCTGGGGTTGTGGATGGCTCTGGGAAAGGCGTGTTGTAGATCCTGGTGATGGTCACCTTTTTTGCAGCCTCAGCTCGGCCCTCTTAACTCTTAGCACCTGCAGTACAGGGTCGTCCTGGAACTCGCTGCCGTCAGAGTCTAGGGGAAACAGAGGGAGCGCCAAGAGGTTGACTCGTGGGGTGCTGGACTACTATCCAGATCTGGGCAGCCACGCACATCAGCTCACCCTCTGCAGCCTCTAGAAGTCGGGTGGCCTGGCAGAGCAGATCTGAGGAGGCGTGGTCAGCATTGGACGGGGGCGTAGCCACCGCCTCCAGAGACCCCGCCCTGAAGGAAGGGGGCGGGGCCTCGATGCAAGCGGACACCTCCTTAGCTGGAGGGGGCGGGACTCTGGGTTTCAGATACCCAGCTTCAGCCAAGGGAGTGTCTTTGTCCTTCTTCGGCTCCGACATCGCTAGGGGGAGCTTGGCCTTGGCAATCCGAGACTCTGCTTTAGACCGACTAGGCGGGGTCTGTTCTTTGGGAAAATGGGATCCAGATAGAGGGGGTGTAACCTTGGTTTGGGGCTGTGTGGCCTTGACTTTCTGAGATTCAGTCTCTGCCAGAGGTGGGCCCTCAAGGTGAGGGGGCGTGTTCTCCAGGCTGTCCGGGAAAAGCCGCGCGGCTACTACCTGGCCCAGGGCGCCTCTGAGCTGCAGGCCAGGACCCTCGTCAGCTGCCGTGACTCTCCCAGCGGACTCGCGGCGCCGGGCTCTGCCACTCCCAGGCTTGGGGCCCTGCTTCTCAGGCTGGGCGGGGCAGCTTGGTGCAAGAGCCGGCGGATCCTGGGGGGCGGCTGGGGGCGGGGAGGTGGAGGCTGAAGGTGCCGCGGTGGAGGCCTGGGGCACCGGAGTGGAACCCGGAGGCGCAGGGGTAGAGGCGAAGGGCGTGGGAGGAATGGCCCCGAGAGGTACCCAGGGACCAGGCTGCGGGGCCCAGAAGAACCCATGGGGGCTGGGGCCCCAAAAGATGTGTGGAGAGAATCCTGGCGGAATAGGAGGCCTCTCCATATAGAAGGCCTCCAGGGGACCAGGCCGGGTTACACTGCTCCAAAGTGGGACGCAATTAGGCTGGGTTCCCAAGGAAGCAAGGGACTCTGCAGGGGCAGCGGGAGCTTGTCGACAAACAGGGACAGGGACCTGAGATAAAGAGAAAGGGTAGAGGGGTCCTCAGTGGCCTCCAGGCTCCTCTTTCCTCCAGCTCTCCTTAGCATCCCTCCCTCCAGCCCCCTCAAGCTCCTCCCTCCCCCATCTCACTGGAGTGGTGAGGGCAGGAGTCTGGGGTAGCACCCAGGTTCCATCACCCTGCCCTCCTCGAGCCCTTTCAAGCTTCCGCCGCTGCCGCCACTGGTATAGAATGTCATCCTCTGGACGCAAGGGTGCCTGGGAGGAGATCGGGGCTGGAGCAGGGATGGGGGCATGTGCTGGTGTTCCTGTGGGGTAAGCAGAGAGGGGCTAGGGTGATGAGCAAACCAAGGACAGTCTGTTTATATACCTTTTAACTGTACCAGAAAGTTATTCAGACAAGCTCTCCAGATAATGTCCCAACTCCTCATCCAAATAGGAAGTGAGAAAAGAAGCAGAGTCAGGGATAGAGCACTCCTGGGCTTCTCAAGCTGCCATCATACAATTCTTTATTCATCAGCAAGTATTTATTGAGCTCTTACTTTGTGCCTGGACATTATGGATACAGCAGTAAACAAGACAGATGCTCCAGAATCTGCCCTCTTCTCCCCCCCCCCC